ACCCACTCAAAGGGACAGAAGGTCTAAACCTATCAAGAAATGTTTGTGCCGTTTGTTGAAATAAGACTGGCTTATTAGTTAGATAGCTTTGCACTGACTCAAACTATAAAAGCCTTCAAATACAATATGTTGTCAACAGGTGTATCTAACATGGCCTGTTCCTAACTGTGCTGAGGGCTGTCCTGGATCATGGATCAAAGATGGCTACTGTGATAAGGCTTGTAACAATTCAGCATGTGACTGGGATGGAGGAGATTGCCTGGGTAAAAACATCAACACGTTTAATCCCCATCCTAATTATGTCACGGGTGTATAAGAGATTAATTGTGTTTGGTCAGGAGCAGGTGGAGTAGGTCGGTTTGCAGGTGGGATCCCGGGAGGAGGAGCAGGAGGAGGTGGAGCACAGGTGTGGCAGTTTGCAGGTGGCGCTGGAGGCCTTGGTGGCACGTCCTATTGTAATCAAGGCTGTGCCAACTCCTGGCTAGCAGACAAGTTCTGTGACCAGGCCTGCAACGTTCTTCCCTGTGGGTACGATGTTGGCGACTGTGGTCAAGGTAAGTTGCGTTTGTACACTTGTGCTTGTGTGTGTTTGGAAGGCTGACAAATGTTTCTTTGTTGTAGAGCACTTTGACGAGCTGTATAGAGTGACCTTAATAAGAAATCAGAGCATTTATACTCTTCCAGTGGGGGAGATCAAACCTTATTTCAACTTTGAGCAAATAGCCCACAGAGTTTCAGAAGCTCATGTCAGTGAAAATGCAGTTGTGCGTCACACCTCTGTTGCCAACAAGTGGAAGACTATTCACCTCCTGCTCTATGCTGGCCACAATAGGACACAAATCCACTACAACATGACGTTTCAAAAGGAAGACGGTACAGAGTTCATCATGGGCTTTAGTGTTGTCATTGACACTCGCGAGCTCCCTCATGTTAATGTATCTCAGACTACAAGTAAAGATGAAAGCAGAGACCCAAAGCCTACTCCTACCCCTGAGACTTTTTTACCATTCTCTGACATACCGGAGGAAAACCAGGGTCCCAAAATTATCATAAAGCAGCTAGCAGAAAAACAGATGGTTATAGAAGTTCCTGTTATTAATGTTTCTTTGCTGCCAGCCTCAGTCCGCAATGAGATTCAAAAACTTGATGAGAAACTCCTAACTGGTGATATTACTTTAAAAGGCTACAACCTGACCAAGGCTGAGCTACTGAGACCGTTCAAAGTAAAACAGACCCTCGCAAAGGATGTGGTAAGCCCAGAGAAGCCATTATTAAAAGATCTGGATAGTGAATCTCGAGATAAATTAATAGCCCCATTCGCTGATAAACAAGACAAAACAGACAAAACAACAAACAAGGCAAAACAAAGCCTACAAAACAAAGCTACTCCTGTGCCAGTCAACATCAATGATGACTTTCAAGATGATCCAAATACTTACACTATAAAGGCTGTAATTGAAAGACCCTTAATTTCAAAGATGGTAAATGATAATTCCAAATCAAAAAGTCAGGAGAATCCACCGGAAGAGGGCGATACACAGGAAAGAGCTCCAGTGGGGAGGAGATTACAACATTTTACCTCAGCGGACAGAGGTTTTCTTCCCTGGGAGAGAAGGAAATTCTTTCAGAGTCTTCTAGAGGTGAGTTATCTTTGCTGGTTTTATGTTAATTTATTCATGTCTTTTGAGCTTCCAAGTTTGTTTGTTTTTCAGGAAGAGGAACGCCTGCAGACAGAACTAATGTACAAGGCCAATGGTGCTGCTGCAGGGCGAAGGCTTCAGGACACCTTTGCCGATTCCTTGCGTTACGTCAATAAACTCCTCAACAGCCAGTTCGGTTTTACATCACGCAAAGTCCCTGCCCACATGCCGCACATGATAGACCGATTCATTATGCAGGAGCTACAAGATATGTATGTCAGTGTGATGATTTTTGCCCTTTCTGTCACATCAATATATCTTAATTCTTTTGTTTTTTTAGGTTTCCTGCAGAGTTTGACAAAACATCTGGCCATCGTGTCCGTCACTCAGAGGACATGCAGTTTGCCTTCTCGTACTTCTACTTTCTGATGAGTGCACAGCAGCAGCTCAATGTCTCTGATGTGTTTGATGAAATTGATACTGATCGTTCAGGAATCTTATCTGATCGGGAGATTCGAACTCTTGCTACAAGGATCCATGAACTACCCCTAAGCCTCCAGGTAGGTCTAATACAAAGTTATTTACAAATCACTTTATTTCCTGTATTTATTTCTTATGCTTATGAATGTAGGATTTGACCAGTTTGGAACAGATGCTCATAAACTGCTCTAAAACACTGCCGACCAACTTGACTCTGCTTCATTTAGTGAAACCAACACAAGAGGCATATTATGACCCCAGCATGGTGAGATGTTTGTTTAACATGCAAAACTATGTGTAAACTTTTATAGGTAAATGCTCAATTGTCTTAATTTGTCAATTACAGCCACCTGTCACAAAAGGCCTGGTTGTTCACTGCAAAGCAATCACAGATCGCATACACAAGGCATTTAAAGATCAGAATAAATATAAGTGAGTGTTCTCCCCAAATTTGCCCAACATTTTGATTCAGTTATTCAACAAAGAGTATGTGATTACAAGCAGGTATGTCTTTTTAACACTTTACTTCTAAACCGTGATTTCTGAACAGGTTTGAGATTATGGGGGAGGAGGAGATTGCTTTCAAGATGGTACGCACCAATGTGTCCCATGTGGTTGGCCAGTTAGATGACATTCGAAAAAACCCAAGGTCAGAACACTTTACTTTGTGTTATGATTATTTGTGCTGCCTTAAGGTCTGTCTCATACTGTGCTCTACTGATCTCAATAGAAAGTTTGTTTGTCTGAATGACAACATTGATCACAGCCATAAAGATGCAGCTACAGTGAAGGCTGTTTTGAGAGATTTCTACGAGTCCATGTTTCCTCTATCCTCACAGTTTGAATTACCCAGAGAGTATCGTAACAGATTTCTACACATGGAAGAGCTACAAGAATGGTAAGATCTATTCATCTTATAGTTGTTTCTTTTCTGTCTGTTTTCTTTCCTAATTACTACTGTTTTTATAATGAACTTCTGCTTAATTTTCATTGTCACCGCACCAATAACAGAGTTGTGAATATAAAGCTACTGTGACAATTCACATGTGGCAGTAATTCATCAAGCTTTTTTTCCAAAACAGACTTAAGTGAAGTATTTGTGACTGTCATCACTTGTGATGACATGCTGCCTAGCTGCAGCTGTGGGAATCTCTGAGGGTTTTACAGGGAGTTTATTCGAGAGCTTGTTTCTACTTTCAGCGGGCTACAGCCAGAACATTCCAGACTCACAAAGAGACTTTAAAATTAGATCATCCACTTCAGATCAGCCGCTAGCTGTAAGATACTTGTAAGATCATAACGCAGCCAAGCTGTGATGGAGTCTGTCATGTCACAGACGTAAGGTGTTAGATGATGTCACCTTGTCACCCAGTTGCCATTTGCCCCGCTCTACTTGAGACTTCCTTTTACTCAACAAGGTAAATGGATTTTTACGATTTTTATTTATTTATTTTTTTTCAGGCGGCTATATCGTGACAAGTTGAAGTTTTGGACTCACTGTGTTCTTGTGGCACTTGTCATCTTTACTGTCATGTCCTTCTTTGCTGAACAGGTCAGTAGTGTGTAAATACAGGTTTCATCAACATACATGCAGTGTTCTTAGGAGAATGTTGTCCTCTGCAATTCTCATCTGTTCAGTGTACCACACTCTTTCAGTGTTTGGCCTTAGCTTTATGAATGTATAGAATCTTGTGCTACAATTAACTAAAATGTTACTAAACTCTAATTGTATGCTTTGTCTTTACTGCAGCTTGTTTCTCTGAAGCGAAAGATCTTTCCCAGACGTAGAGTCTACAGGGATCAAACCTCAGAGCGGGTCTGATGAGACTCTCACTCCTCTTCAATGAATACTCACTCCTTCAGTACCTTGGGATAGCAGCGGGTCCTGCCAGGGGGACTGGTCATTGGGGGTGACTGATTGTCCAGGGGACTGATCGTCCAGGGTTGACTGATCGTCGGGGGGACTGGTCTTGTGTCACATCAGTGGGACTTGGGCACAGAGCTGCATGTGTTCTGGTGATGACACATTGTGAAGATGATGGATGACAGTGATTATTACAGAGGCACAATGGCTGGTACAGTGCTGCCTTTCAGTTCTCCACTAGGGGCTCTTTTATACAGCACACTGAGGTACTTCAAATCTGGTCCCACCAATGTTTGTCCTGCTGAAGTAAAACTATAAAATTGCAGGTAAAAAATATATTTTTAATGTTTTTTTTGTTTTTTTACTTTTCTTTTACAAGTTTTAATAATTGATTTTGCTCTTTCTACATGGGTTTAAATTATTGAGGTACCAAAAGTTCATTCTTGAAGTAATTGTTTTTACTTTTGTTTTGTTATCAATACTTGAAGTGCCTTTATCGTATTTATAGGGGGGTACCCTGATCTTTAAGTCATTCCTTCTTGAGAATGTGGTCTTGTATGCTGAGGGCTTTTAAAATGTCTAGTCTTAAATGTTTGTAAATGTTGTTCAGATATATGACAACATGTTTTTGTTGTCCAGAATGAATGAAAATGAGTGGAAATAGGGTCAGAAATTAAAAATTTGATAGCAGAATACCCACACTCTGCTCTCTTTGCCACCTGTGTGTGTGTGTGTGTGTGTCCCTGTGGGATGCAACAGGCTATTGTCTGAAATTCAGACCCTTTCAGCATGTTTTGTAACTTATGACTGTATTATGTGACAGTGAACTGTTGTCATTTATAAATGCTTCAACTCTAAACAGCGGTTCATGGAAATAGTTGCCAGTGTTTCAGCACTCTGTCTTTTGGTGTCTCATTCAAAGTGTGATTAATTTACTGTAATGACAAAAAAAAAAACATGAATTATCATTGTTAGCTGACAGAATGTAAGGGTTCTGGAGTACAGCATAACAAGAATAGAATGCATAAAATATAATTTATTAAAATCCTTTCCACTTGTGCAAGTAGAAAAGTGTTGTAATTATTGAACAGTGCAACATAATGTTCTCAGATAAACATTTGCAATGCATAAAGGTAGCTCAAGACTAACTCCTTTTGTCTGGGCAATGCCCAAAACTCAGAAATATAGTTTCAACTTAAATATTTGCTTTAATATTGTACAGTGTGATCATTACAGAAAAATCCCTTCTAACCCCAAACCTGAACGTGCCACAAAGTCAACACAAAACTGCAGTAAAATGAAATAATCACATACTTACACCAATAATTTACAAGAATTATGAAAGCCTAAACAAACAGTATACATTGGTACTGAAAACTCCTTGTCATACAAGTCATTGTACCTCATTTTATACTTCAGTGGAAAAAATACAAACTTTTAAATATTCACATAAACAGTGATTACTAAAATTAAGGCCTTTCAAGTTCAAATCTGTACAATCAATAAAAATTATATAACATAGCCCTTTAGGGAGAAGAGCTGAGAAAGCAGAACAAGACACATGATAATGCTTCATTAATTGACAGTGATCCTAAGGTAAATAAATATGTTTTGTAGTTGTAAAGTTGAATTCAATACGTTACCAGAAACCATTGTAGCTGGAGTGGTTTTTAAGTTGTGAACCTTGAGGAAAATCTGCCGCAGTGTCAGCATTAACAAAGCCCCATAAACTTAACCCATTGACAACCACACCGATTTAGACACTTCATTAGAGGACATTATTCAACCAATTCAAACCAAATTAATAATTAACACTTAAAACAAACATAAAAATGAAATTATGTATTTAAAATATGACATTTTGCTGTTTGTTCAATAATTTTATACCTCAATTACTTTGTATTTAGGCTTTTAAAAGCAGTTTGCCAAAATATATTTATGTAAATTTAATTAGTTGACTTTGCAGTAAAAAATATATAGATTTCTGCCAATTCTCAAGAAAATTATTTCTCATGTTTTTCCTGTTTGTTAATGAAGTAGAGTGTTGAAGTTTTAATTAGAAGTGGTCACTTTATCAAGGCTGGTTGGGGTTAAAGGTCTGTCTTCATTGTCATCTGCTTTCAGTAGCGGGGACAGATCAGCGTCTCCCCCCACCTCCTCCCGCCGGGCAAGACGTCAGTCGCGATGGGACTGGCCCGGGGGTGTGATGCTGAAAACCTGAATGCGCAAATGTGCCGCGATCTGGATGCATACTCCTGTGCAATACCGGACCAGATCAAGGAAAGACAAAACCTGTGGGGACAGAAAAATAATAATTAACAGTACATGCTGTCATGATTTAACCTAAAAATCTGACGTATCAAATGGTACTGACCATTGCTATCCAAAGTACTATGTATTCGTCAATGAAACTGTTGAAATACTGGTTTAGGAAAAGTATTCCCGGGCCTATAAAGGCAGTGTCTGGAAGATATAACTCACTTTTTGTCATGTGAGCAATCTATAAAGGAGACACAAATAGAATGGTAAAGGCAACTTAACTTTGTGTTTCATGCCAAAATGAGATTCATCATATATACCACAAGCTTGTTTGAAATTTTGGCGATGACCATGCCAAACGTCAGAAGGTACAAACAGGGATGGTGCTCAAAGAGTTGGCTGGATGACTTTTTAAAAATGATGAAGGCTAGAGAAAGGATGAGACCAATGTGCAAACCTGGACTCAGAACACTGGTGTCCTATAAAAATCAGAACCATCACAGTTTTTTAAAAAGTGTAAATAAACAGCATTTAGATATAGGGGTTTGGAAACTTACAGCGACAGTAGAGCCATTTTTACCAACACCACCATTCAGAATGACATAAAAGTAATTGTGACAAGAGTAGAGGGCTCCACCAATAATGCCCATGATCGGGAAGGCATAGAACTTCAATCCTATAACTGGTAACTAAAGAAGACACAAGAAAATTTGATTAGATATGAATGCACTGTGCTGTTTCGGTTGCAGATATGAAAGCTATAGGCATGCTGAGCATGATGTAGGGGCAAAGCAATAAAATAAAATGAGTGCGTGGGACATTATCAGCTGTGTAAGCCAGATCATGTCTAATAGATGACCTGTTACCTTCTCAATTCATGTGATGTTAACTCAAGCCTCCAAAGGCAGCACAGAGTGAGAGTGAAACAAAGACTATTTAAAAGGCTACAACTTAAACTGACAACTGGGATTTGAGATTTTAAATGTTATATTTAAGGTGAAGAAAGTGTACCATTGCTGTATGACTACACAAAAACTCAGTTACCGTAGTGTGCCATAGGCTCACGCCTCCAAACGCAGACATCAGATACATGACTATAATTGCAATCTGCACCTCTGTCACATCAACCCTGAAGGTGGTCAAACAACAAAAATGCCTTTGTCAGTATTAAAAACACAGGACAAAATCTACATTATACTTAAAACTTACAGGCCAAACCGAAGGGTCCCAGACACATAGGTCTGCCAGTGTGCACAGAAAAACATAAACATCCCAATGAAACCACAAAAGAACATCCAGTTTGAGAATCCTCCAATTCCACATGAAATGCATGTTCCAACTGCAACAAAGACTGTAAAGAAAAAGAAAGGACTTTTAATGTGCATGTTTTTTCAAAACAACCGAGGTATTGCAGATCAGCAGAGATGGAGGGATTATCTTTAATTTCGAGAGCACCTGTGGAGACGGCATCGCAACCATGGTCAAAGAGCTCCCCCAGAGCAGAGCTGCTGTTCGTCCGTCGAGCCTGTTTTCCGTCTATGGCGTCCAGAGACTGGTAAATGAAGAGGCCCAGAGCACTCAGCACAAAAGCCCAGGAAGGAGCCTGAATATGAATAAGAAAAAAAATAATAATAATTAAAGAAAAAAATATATATATATATATATATATATAAATAAAAAAACAGGCATTAACTTAACTCTTTAAAACACCAGAGATATATTATACATATCATACAATTTCTTTGCATGAAAGCATTTTGAGGGTCCAAAAGGTTGATGAATTATTATTATTTTATTATTAAAAAATAAATAGTGAAACCAGAAACCAGTGTTTTTCCAGCTGAGCTATGACCTTTCACCAGAAAACAGAGGTTTCCAACCATCTGGACTCCAGCACTGTGGTCACTGTGGTCACTGTGAGTGTGTGTTTGTTTGTGTGTGAGAGAGTGTGTGAGAGAGAAAGAGAGAGGAGAGACACACAAAGGTAGCCTGTTTCAGAGCAACTAGATTATCATGCTTTGCACTCTTTCTGTGTTTTGGTGCATGTCATTCTGGATAACTGATCCCTGCCCCTGGAGTTAAAAATGAAGGAATCTCCCAATAAACAAGTTTGATGTCTTTGATCAGACACTGGGCTTTAAATGAAGAATACCACTACACTGAACTGTGAGGAATTTGATAAACCTTGGTTTGCTCCTTGGACTTCAAACATGAAGTCAGATTACTCGGGATTGGACTGGACAAAGGTGCAAGAGAGATAAAAACACACCTATGCTCTTGCAAGTGAACCTGGAGCAACAGGTTTAGTGGGGGCAAAGGTCAAATTTTAGCCAAATCTATGAATGAAGTCTGGGCTTTCATTGCATTGAGTACTTTTAAACTGGGTGTAATAATAGCCCTTGCTGTGTCTGGAGAATTTTAAGTAGCCACACCTGGCAAACTATATTAACTGCCACGTGTGCCAGATCAAACCATATTAATACAATTAAGCCCAACTTTGTCTCTGGGGTGTCATTTCTTGCGGTCAGAGATTTAAAAGGTGTTGCGTTGTTTTAATATCACGTGACACTGTGCAGCAAATAGATCCATGATGGCAGCAACACGTCAAATTAGTCAACCCCAAAGTGTACCGATTCATAAATAGGATGATTCATAATAATTAATGATTCATAAATAAACTCGTGAAACAAAACAATACAGCTGACATTAATAGAGGCACTCATATTGCTTTTTAAAATAGGCTGTAGGTGTTTGGGCAGTTCAATTACTGTCCAAATACTCACCTCTTCTGTAGCAGTGGGACAAAAATACACCAGCACCAGAGTAGAAACGATATTGACAAAGAGTCCAACAATAGTTAAAGTATTCGGGGCTATCCATGTCGGGATTTGCTGTACCAACCAGTTCCAGTAAATCTGGCAGGGCGGCTCAAACAGGGAGCGACCAGAGGCGCTGTACTTGTGCTCCTCCAGGCGCTTGAGCTGTGCGGGTGACAGCGGCTCAGGCCACAGCCAATGGGCCATAATTAGTCCTCCTCGTCAGGCTTGAAGTCTAAACAAACTCCCATGGAAGATGTGTACCGACGGCGCTATCCGGTGGGTTTAACCAACTCCGAGCAAAAGCGACTCATTAGATATTTACAGCTAACTCGGGACTAGGCCATTTCACCGCGGAACCAAAAAGTCGAGTCTCCACAAACAGGAAGTGAACAACCGGAAAAAGATCACACGTGGCCGGGTTCTTTCAAATTCATCAATGATAAAAATGTGCAGATAAAATAAAAATAAAAAACTGACCGACAAACACTTATACTGAATTTCTTAAATATATGAAAATGTATATTCTAGATATAATTTATTAAGGCTATATTTTAACTTACTTGATGAAAATGTATATCTAAAAACAGCATATAACCAAACAGGATTATTGAGGATAATTATTAACACATAGAAAAACAAACAAAAAAAATGCACAAAAGTCACATGTACTGTAAATAGGTCACAATTTTATTGCAATCAGAATGACATAATTGCAAAGTTTTTGCATGTGCCTGTTTGACATCGAACCTGTGGAAAATTTAATATTTTTTATAGAGATAAATCTTAATTTTCATTCTATTAATTCTCAAGTATTAGAATCAAAGGAATTTATTCATTTGTCAACATTACTCAACCCATTGTAGGCCTACAGCCTATTTAACAAAGCCTAAAGAAGTTCTCACAAAGCTCTATTTTCTTACATATCATCACCATTACTTTACTTAATGCCAGCCACAACAAACCACACAACTGGTATATGTGCAGGTTTTTAGCTTACAATGTGTATGAGAATGTCAATACATTCCTGAACTAACACATTTTAAAACTCCAAAGGCCAATAAACAATGTTATACATTTGCAGTGGTAACAAAATGGCACACAATCTGCAAACAATTATACCACAGCCCAGTCTCCCACGCATCCCCGCACCCACACTGACCTAATCTTAACCAGTCAAAAGCTTTTCCATTATCTTCGATGTCAGTATTTGTAAATGAATTTAATATAATTTAAGTGGGGCATATACGGTGTGATTCTTTTAATTTATAAACAAAAAGGTATAAATTCTTGCTTTTGGGGGCATTTACAATATTTATGTTTTGCACACAGCTGATGTCTGACAGTCTTGAGTTGGAAGAAGCCCCTTATTTGCAGCCTAGCCCCTGTTTCTTCATCGCTTTAGGATAATGAGATGTCCACATCAATGACATTGCTGGGGTAGAATGGGAGTTGACAAAGTGTCTAATTGCACAGTGCATCTACTTCTCCTGCTCAACAATCTTTGCCTCGTTCATGTACTTGTCGATCAAGTGTAGTGGCACTCCACGATGCATGAGCTCATAAAAGGTGAATCCTCCTGAAAACAATGGACAGATCATCATAAAACCGCTTTTGGAGAAGGAGTTGGGAAGAAGAATAAGAAAACAGAAAAAAGAAAAACTGGACAATAGGACAAACCCGATGCACAAAATCGCACAAACTGAAGATGCACACAATTGCTAAATCAAATCGTGTCCTAATTCCGAACAATATGAGCTGTAACCACATGATTATTAATACTAGTCAGTGTATGTGTATACTGCAGTTTAGTTTAGTTTAGATACAACCTAGACTGTATAAAGAAGTGGACTAAGGGATAGTGATGTCACCCATATGGTTCAGCTCCAGTTAAATGAAGCTCACGAGGACAGCAGTTACAGAAGCAAATTTGGAGCCAGGTTCATATTAGGAATGGGAATTTATTCTTGTACAAAATAGCAAAATTACGTATCATGATCACGTGCTTTGAGTGCCTTGAAGGTGGAAAAGCGCTATAGAAAAATGTGACCATTTACCATTTACATACAGCAGGTTAATATGTTAATTTTAAGATACCATCATCAAGTCAATTGGAAACAGAGTTGAAGGAGCTGAAAGTGCCTCCATGAACACTTTCCATTTGGTACCTACCGGCTAGCGAATTAGCTATGTCCATTTAAATATACAGTCTATGAGATACAATAATAAATAACTATTATGTAAAGTCACCCATACTTAATGGGTAGGGAAAATGGAATTGGGACACAGTTTGTAGAACTATGGCAAATTATGAGACATTGCTGCTTTAACTAATATGCAATGCAAAGCCACTGAAGAGGGCAAATCTATTAAAATAAAATGCACCATTATTTGATCACAACAAGCAAAAGCTATGAATGGAGATATGACTTCTCAACATTCACAACTGATTGACAAGTTTACAAATAGGGGAAAGTGTGGTGTTAGCATGTCATGTATTTAAAAAGCAAAAACTTTGCGGCTGCTTTTATGCAAAAGAAAAGGTTAGCTGTTGAACAGACTTACCTTAGAAGCGCCATAAAATACATGAGGTAGTCTCTGATATCCACACTATTGATGTTTAGTTTCCAAAGGTTCCAGAGGCATTAAAGCTGGCTAGCTGTTCTAATAATGTTTCATGCACATTTTATTAGTAGTAAGATTACACTAAGATCTTATGTCTCATTTCATGACCATAAATACGCTGCCACCAACCAGGGAAAGTGAAGTTATATTCTGATTGAACAATGCATAATGAATGACATAAGCTTCATATGCCCGGACCATATGAAAGCTTACCTTATATGAGAACATACATTCACAATTCTTGAGTTTGGACTGAGGGAGAAAGAAAAGAAGAGGGGTTAACAAAATGTTTACATGGTGTTATATGTGTGCACCAGGGAGTCCACTGAGTTACTGAACTCTTTAAATGAGGAGTTACTGTGCACAGACATTACAGTCATTTGAAACACAGGGACACCACAGGTCTATATGTTATGCCTATGGAGGAGTGACTCAAATATTCAGTGTAGTCATGATGGACAAGATGACTGGATGGACTGGAAAACAGAGGGATAAACCTGCAGTGGTAAAGGTCCTCCAGAGATTATGTTCACTTCACACACATGAACAAATTACTGATGACGCATATGTGCAATAGTGCTCAATACTTACGGAAGCACAGCTTGCAGTATACGTCCACGCCATTGGTTTTACTACTGCATGACTTATCAAGACCTGCTTTCCCAAACTAAACTTGTATGGCTGCTCACAATATGGGCTTTACAAAGTACTGAGCACAGTATTTTGGTTTTAAACATGTCACTGTGCATTGTCTCCAGGGAGAGTAAACATGATCAAATGTTGCACTTATACCGTAAAAAAAAAAGAAGAACATGATATCATGGCATTCTTTATTTTTCTTTGTTTTGAAATCTCTGGTGAAAGAAGAACAAACTGTATTATCCTTTTTAAACATTAGAAGCGCCTGCTATCCCCAGTACCATAAAATATATTTATCTGAATGAAGCAACTAATCCATAACAGAAAGTCAAAACTAGAAAGAGGGATTTGGGAAACCAGTCTCAGTAATAAGTGACAATGACTGAAACTGAAAAGAGTTTTCTAGTTTGCACTGACCTTTGACCTCCAGTTTGCAGTCAACCTGCGCCTCTCCAAGGTCATTGATGGCCTTACAGGTGTACATCCCGCCATCATAGGGACTGGGCTTCCTGATCTCCAGTGTGCAGACGCCTTGGTTACTGAACATACGGTAGCGAGGATCATCTAGGATGGTTATTTTATTCTTCATCCAGATCACTTTGGGCTACAGTTAAAGATAATTTAAAAAAGTATTCACTATATTATTAATAAAATTAGATTTTCCAGATATTGTTGATTACATTAGAATTGAATACAAATAATGATAATATGTTATTAATTATTTTACAGGTTTTACATGACTGTACAGTATGATGTTACCTGATTTTATCTGGAGGTCTACACAGCACACCACCTACCCTTGGGTTGGCACGGACACTACAGTTTAGAGTGGTGTTGTATCCGGCGATGGCAAACGTGTTGATCAGTGGCTGGGTAAACTTGGGCGCCTCCTTAAAGTCATGGTCATTGTACTCGGGAATTTTGAGCTGCATGCCTGTGGGGGGAAGGGTAAAGGAGTGGGGTTGTGCATGATACTGGCGCTGAGCTGTATCATGTGGGAATCTCCCTATGTGATGAGGGAAAGACAATGATTTGTGTTCATTCATTATCAGCTGAGATTGCAACATCATTGTTTAAGGGCCTGTCAGTCAGTGCTTGACACTCACTGTGGGGTGGAAAACATCACTGACAGTACCTTCAAACCAGCTGTAAAAAGACTTAATATTTAAAACATGAAATAACAAAAACATATTAAACAAATAATGTTTCCCTCAATTAGTTTCAAAGTAATACAATCCTTACATGATAATTATCACACTGAGATAAAAAGGAAAGGAGTAACATGAAGGCATGCAACAGGAAACACTTCTCACACTTCAGTATGCATCTCAATACATCTCAATGGGTCAAAATAACAATATTCAATTAAATTATTAAATTACATGTCTTCTCTGTTTGGATATAGTAGTTAGGCCTTTTAGAGCTTATATATCATATCATAGAGAGAGAGAGAGAGCTGTACCTTCTTTCATAATGAGGGCACTCTTCTTCGTTTGAGTGGCTGATTCGCTCAGACCGCACATATTCTCAGAGAAGACCCTGAAGTAATACTCATTCCCGACCACAAGCTCTGTGATGGTAATGCAGGTGCGATGGTAATGCTCAATGCATGTGTACCACTCCTAAGAGACAAAAAAAAGTTTGAGTCTCTATAAACCAACTGATTTGATTTTTTCAAAAGATTTAAATTTTACCATAGTTTTTGTGTCTGCCTTTTGAATAGTATAGCCAGTTATTGGTGCATTTCCATTGTCTTTCGGTGGTGTCCAGACAAGAGCTACATTTCCTCCCCAGACATCTTCAATTATCACAGACTGAGGAGGTCCTGGTAGGTCTGAAAATCAGAAAACACTATGTAAGTAGACGATATTTAAATATAAACATTTTTATACAGTTTCTAAACCATTTTTGATTGATTTTGACAAAACAAATTTAATTTCCTTACCTACTATTTGAATGTCAATGACAGCTGTGTCCACATGATTGTCAACCTGCACTTTCATATCATACTTTCCAGAGTGGCTGCGTTCCGCTTTGCGGATGAAGATGATGCTGTCACTGTCAGTGTTGCGAATGCTTACATGAGTTGGTTCAATGGGCTTGCCTTCCTTTAGCCAAGTGACCTTTGGCCTGGGTTTACCCTAAAAAAAAACATTTAACTTTGTTACAGTAGTTGATGTGAATTATGGTGAAGATATGATCAATTAAACAGTTACATTACCATAAATGGGACAACAAGGTTAACTGCCTCTCCCACTCTGCGGGTGTATGTTTGCTTGAGGTGGCGTGGCACACGGATTTTTGGTGGTTCTTAAAAAAGATAACATGAAATCCATTTTGTGGCATACACATTTTCTAAAATGGAATTAGCTTAATAATGTTTATTATCAATAAGTTAACAAACTTACCAATGACCTCTTTGACTAGTATAGAGTGTTGAATGGTTTTTGGGGCACTAGCCCCAGCTTTATTGATGGCTTTAACACGTACTAAAATTTTAGAGTCTGGTTTTAACCCTGTGATGGTGTACTTGGTCTTCTCGATTAATTCTTTGTTAGCAGGAATCCACTCATCAGCTGTAGAGGGAATAGAACCAGAACATTATATTGTGAATTAGCTGCATTTTATAACTTTAGCATGGATATGTACATATGTTTTAATATAGGTCCCATTGCAAAAGATTATTCTTACTTCCTTCCAAGCAATACTCCACTAAATATCCATCCAGACCAGCGGCTCCAATGGTTTCAGGTGGGCGCCATTTCAGAGTGACTGAGTTATCAGTGACATCATCAACCACCAGCATAGTGGGTTCACTGGTCACAGCTGCAAACAAGAGAAAGGATTGAATCTTTTAGGAGTCATACCTACAACTCCTCAGTTTTTTTGTAATGCCATGAACACATGAAAAAGCTGTGAGTGTTTCTGGCTGGTATGTCGCTGTGTCTCATTAGTCCAACCTATTGTCTATTCCAGTGTTCTGAATCATATTTAACTCCTATTGGAGCCTCTGGCAGACCTGTTCTTCTAAACCTCTAATCCATAGATGCTTTGGCAGCCATTATAAAGACATATTTAATATCCCCTAAAGCTCCAGTCTGCCTAGTAGAGGTCACAGTCAGAATGCTTGGGATGGTGCGGTATGCTGATGAACAGCTGTGTCGCTGGGGCTCCAAGGGCAGATCACACATGCAGCCAACCATCATTAAGAATGGAAATCTGCAAATTCTTGTAAAACAACAGCTACAGTAGACAAGCAGTCTAGAGCATTATATAGAGCTTTTTCTCAGAACATCAGCAGCTTAAAATATAAATGTTTAGACAGCTAAGCCTATTCAAGACCTTTGCTTACCCAGGGGAACAAAGGCTTTTGATGGCTCACTGGGCTTGGATATGCCTATGGCGTTGACAGCAAAGACCCTCACTTCATAAGGCACACCCTCAATCATCTTCTTTGGCTCAAAACACGTTTCTTTGATCAAGTCAAAATTTAGTCTCATCCATCTTGAGCTCTGTTTCTTCTTTCGTTCAATGAAGTAGCCTTTGTATATAAATAAAACAGCTATTACTTGCCTTTAAATGTTAACAATTGTTATTATCAATAGGCTACAGTATTATTACCTAATATAGGGGAACCTCCATCATATTTGGGAGGTTCCCATGTCATCGAACACCAATCACCACCTACAACTGGAACCAATGGAGCATCCGGAGCATCAGGTATGTCTGCAGACAAGAACCATCCATGAATTGTTTATGTCACTAAAAGTATCTTTAACCAGAAAACTATTGATGAAAAAAAATAATAATAATAATAATAACAATAAAAATAATTACTTCCCTGGTAAATTGATGGAAGCAAATAAAGTTTTTTTTTCCCCATCACCAACAATTATGGGTATATATAAAGAAATCTGACTATAACAAAACTTTAAATTATTTTGTCTTTTTTGATAAAAAAACAAGCTTTTATACAATAGAACATGAGGGTATTTTACCAACAACTTTGATTTTGACACTGGCGGTGGCTTCCCCAGCTTCATTCTGGAGAACTATCTTGTAGTTTCCAGTGTCGTCACGCTCCGTGATATCAATCGTCAAACTGGTCTGGTCTCCATAAGTCTCTGCCCTAACACGATGACCAGACTCAAGAATGACCTATGATATCCAAGAAGACAGGATTTTCGGATTTTAACAAAACTTAAAATGTTTTTCAGAAAAGACCAGACAAGGCCTCACCCTTTCACCCTTCATCCACACCACCCTGGGTGCTGGTTCACCACTGATGGGAATCTCCAGTCGAAGTTTGTTTCCTGCTACAATAACCACTGTGTTGTCTGGAAAATTCAAACTGTCCAGATGAACTCTTGGTGGGTCTGAAAAAATAGAAATGAAATGTAATAGCAATTCCAGTACATATTTCTCTATTATTATAAATGAAAATGTGTGTGACTGTACCAATGATATGAACTTTGGCAGAGAGGCTTTGAGAATATCCCTCGGGCACAAATGTGTAATCTCCAGCATCATGCAGGGAGCAAGATTCAATTTCCAGTCGATGGATTCTGAGAAGGAAAAGGTAAAATATAAAAAACATGATTTCACATATTTTTTTCTATATTTTTTCTGTAATATTATTTACTTGTTTCTGTGAATAATATTGATGCGGTCATTGGGCTGAATCAGTTGTCCATTTCTGTACCAACGGCCTGGTACATTGCCTGGGTATATCTCACAATGCAGCTTAATTGGCTGCCCCAGCCTTACGGTTATATCCTGCAGGTCCTGGAAGATCTTAAGGGGTTTCACTGTAATAAAAACACACAAACTATAGAGAACAATTTGTTACAACTTGTAAATATAAAATATAAAATATATGTCACTTACAGTCAACCTGCACATGACACTCAGAAGTGCCCCCAGTGGCCATGACAGAGTATGTCCCTGTATCGTCCCTGGAGGCATCATCAATCACCAAATAGTGTTTAGTGCCTTCACACTTTACTCGATATCTGGAACGCACTCCTGTTGGGACTTCAACACCATTCTTCATCCTGACAATAATAATAATATAATAGAGCACGTTTTATGGGGGGGGATCTAATATCTGTCAAATATCACATATTTCCAGTTCACAGATTCATTCTACTATCTTCAGAATAAATCCTTAAATCTTTAAAGTGATTTTTGTTCATATTCGACTGTCCATTAGGTCCGTATCTCACCATTTCACCTGAGCACCCTCCTCGGACACCTCACACTCCAGTTCAATTCGCTCATTTACAGTAGTCTTCACTGGATCAAGACTTTTTATAATCTTAACTGGCAGCTCTAAAAAAAAAATCAATAAGTAATTTATTTATGTTTACTGAATTGTATTCATACAAAAGTTAACCTGCAGAGACTTATCATTTATTAGCATGTGTTATTATTGATATTTTCAAAAGCTACAATATTAACAGAAAAAGCAGAATGTGCTTCCATATCATTCAGAAGAGAATTATATTTGTTGTTTTTTTTCCAATTACTATATTTGCAAATGGTCAATAATAGTAATCACCATTAAAATGAAACTTGATTTAAATATAGTTGGATGCACAGGTCTAGCACAACCCTACATCACAATAATTACTATATCAACTTACAGTTCAATATATGAATGCTGGACTAATATATATTAGATCTCAATATTTATCATTGTTACTTTTTCTTTGTACAAATTTGACAATTTTGGTTATTTTGAGCGCTAGAAATTGAAACTATGGCCTTCTATGTCTCATTATGGACCTGAGACTATTTAAATGCTGTATCCTGCTATTTATTTATTGCATGATCTAACATAGAATAAATTCAAAATTTCTTATCATGACAGGCCTACTTACATGTACATTCTAATAATCACAGTAAAAAGTCTAATACCTTTAACAAACAGCTCAGTGCTGCACTTCTCATCTCCTGCAGCCACAGAGTAGGCTGCATCGTCATTCATGGTGCAGTTGTTGATGACCATAATCCTTTGTGTGCCTTTATGCTCAAAGATATACCTAAAATTCACATTATTATGAGTGCAGCCATAACATAATTAGAACAATATATACAATTGTAATTAGGTTAGTGATATGGAATGACTTACTAAAGATTATAACAAAATATATGAGACAAACATGGAAATATACAGTGCTGATGGACTTACTTCCTTTGACTTTAAGTCAGCAGGGAGCCACAACGTGCCGGGTCACAGAGAACAGGAAGTAATTATGGCAGACAGGAAGGAGCACCATGATATATGATAAATAAACAAAAAGACAGACACATCATGCCTGGAGGGGTACAGTATGAATGTGGTTGCCAACAACAAAAGCAGAACCCTGTGTTCAAGAGGGCCGGACCAGAAAACAGTAGAAACCTCCCAAATGGCTTTAGCACTGCATGAGTTTGAACAGGGTGTGGCAGACGGTGATGGTGTACTTATGTAGATGGCCTTTTAAATTATGATTTTTACAGAGTCCTGATGTGACAAAGGCATTTAAAGTTTGAGTATGAAGTGAAACCACTTTCTTTTTTTTATGATATAAATAGATTATGAGAGTGCAAGACCTCATTTTAATCCACAGTTCATAACAAATGTCATAACAAATGTTCATGTTCACTGAGTTCATTGGCTGATGTTGTTGCTAAATTTATCCATCACCATTTTGCCACCCACTGTCACAAAGCCAAGCCAGGTTAAAGACCTGTGAAGAAGGTAATACCTTTTCCTATGCAAAGGATGACATCAAGTAAACACATAATGACATTATAAACCCACAGTCAACTGGATATCAACCACCAATGGTTCACAGTGCAATTAATAGATTAAACATTATGTGTGGTTTCAGTGCTATTTGGCTAATATATAATAAGTATGTAAAATATTCAAGTTTACGTTTGCTTTATTTACATGTGAACCATTGTCTTTTAGAAACAAAATGAAACATTTAATGGCAGTGCAAGAGCAATGCCTTTTCCCCATAAATGAATGTCATTTTATTAAAATGTTCATTCATTTGAGTGAGACACACTGATACTATGTCACATACTTGGGAGTTGGTCTGATTTCTTGTCCATTCTTGTACCACTTCAGATCAACCGTGGGGTCAGCTAAATCCACCACAAGGCGAATCTTCCCTCCTTTATCTACCTGATAGGATGGTTCCAACTTCTTAGCAAATGCTAAAATACATAAATAAACAAAGTTAGAGAGGAGGAAAATGTATAGGTAAAAATGATATAAAACATGCACCTTCGCTCTTCTTCTCCTCTTTGGGTATTTTCTTCAACCTTCGTAGCAGACCTCTCAGATCTGTGATGCCATACATAAATGCAATCTTCTCATACTCATCTGGGCGTGCATTTTTTAGGATCTCCCAAACGTCTACCTCTGGGGTGTCGTCCTGTTGTTTAGGCTCCCTGGTGGTCCCAAATAAGGTCAGAGTGTGAGGGCAAGAGCAATAGCAGTTTTTTGCGACATGTCCTGTGGAAATATTCTGCTACATGTTAAGATTGTAATATGGTAATTCAAAGTTAAATTAATAGTTTTGTTCCTCAGGACATGTCACACAAAGAGATGGGCATGGAAAGCGGCCTTTGATCAAAAAATGAGGCAGATATGTTTGAAGTGGGTTAATTCTTTTGCTTGTTTTAATGCCTTTCCAGCAGAAAAAAATTATGAAACAGACCCACTGTGGTGTTATGGGACATAAGTAAACATTTGGTTGCTTAAGTTTATCAAGATTGATATAGCATGCATCTGTGCATGAAAGTAAGGTATGATGGGTCATCTCTCTTAAATTTTAGATAGATCTATGCATAAGAAAAAATAACATATCAATGCACACAGGAGCAGACACCATTTTTTTTGGTGTAATTAAACACAATGTTATACAGGAAGTGTGTGTAATTAAATGTAGCATGCAGGGACAGAAATAATAACCTGCAACAAATATACTGAAATGAATAAATGACATGTCTTTTAAGCTCTTGAAGCGGCCCATCCCTTTGTTTGTTGTTGGTTGAGTGATCACTTCAGAGACGCTCTGACAGTGTTAGATGAAATTATCTATAAACTACATTAGTTGTATCAAAGTAATGAAAATGAAGACAGGTCATGCACAGCACAATTGGTTTAAAACATTCAGCTCTTTAAAATTAGACATTTTCCCAAATGTCTAAAAAGTTGAAGGCTGAAAAGCAAAAAGCTAACTTAGTTTTGAATAGATGTTTTTCATTTGTTTATTTTCAGGCAATAGTCAAGAAGCTTAAAAACAAACAGGTTTGTCTTATACATTTCTAAAATGAAATAATAATGACAAAGTAGCAGTAACACTATTTAACAGCATCATTCCTTGAGGCCCTTCCATCTCAGGAATGATTCAAAATGGTGCACTCTGTGTCATGTATGTGATGAAATCCATAATCCAATGAAGTTCATTCAGCTTTTATGACACAAGTCCATTTCCATCATTCCTGATGGAGGGCAGACCAAGTAGGAATGCTGTATCCAAATGAAGTGTTACCGTACTACAGGAGGCCAACACTCTTGCGTGTCCGATTGCTACAGCTACATTATGTCATGCTGGGGACTCTACGGGATTACTCACCGCAGTAAGGTCTAATATCTTAAATACTTATGGTTTTCACTCTACTAACCTTTGATGTCTGAATATGTAGGGGAGAAGAAGAGACAAGCCCAAAGTAAATGTATAATTAAGGGGTTAAACTTTCTCTGTCGTCTTACAGTAAACCTATTGGGCCATAACAAAAATGTGAATGGTTCTGCAGAAACGCATTTGTCTTTACACCATTATAATAATATACATTGTTTAACAAACTACCTGATATTTCAAGATTTAAAAAAAAAACAAAAAACATGTATTGTATTTAGGACAAAAATAACAAAAACACAAACAACAAAAGTAAAAAATACTGAAAAATAAAAATCCACTCATATCTGGCTGTGATTCTCACCTATGTTTAAGAAGACCACTAAAGTCAAGCTCTCCTGCATCTTCTTGTCCTTCACTGCTGTTGTTAACAAGAAGAGATTAATGAAGACTTAATCAGAGGCACATACAGGCACTACAAAACAATGTCTAAAGAACAGCACAAAGCACCCGCTCTGAGGCCAACTGTACATTAGCTTGTGAGGCTAACACAGTTGGGACTTGCACAAAACTGCAACTGTCTTTTCAGGCTGAAACTGTGAGTTGTGTAAGACTCAGAGCGCTCCCAGTCACATTTTTGCACAGTGTTTCTGCAATGTTCAGTCAACATTATGCTACATTAACAATGTGCTAATGTTGCCAAACTGGGATGCTTTGCATTGCTTTCAATGCACATTGTTTGATGGTAGATCTGAAAAGCAAGAGATGGCCTTTCATTAAAATATATTAGGTTGATTGGATGGCTTGATTTATATAGCTCCAACTACTTTCTTCAATTTAATAACATAAAAAATAAACTGAACATTATATATGTTTATAAAATTGAGAAAGGCTGTTTAGTTATCTTTAGCTTTAAATGTATTTCATTTTACCTCCGTTTAAAAGCTGAGCGAATGTCAATGTTTTGGGAGCTCTGTTCAGTTTCTGCAAAAGAAACACAGTAAGTGAACAGGAGTGAGGGTCAATATTTCACTGCCTTTAATGCATTTGACAAACCTTTAATCTCTAAGTCAAAAGAACAGCTGTCAAACTTGTCCTTGTAGGTGACCTCACATCTGTAGTTCCCAGCATAGTTCTCTTTGGCTTTTATGATGTGCATCTCAAATGTATGTATCTGTCAGGAACAACCATATCTCATAAAGATGAACAAACACTCACATACTGTAGGTAATTTTTGTGGTGTACCTTTGTAACCCTGTCAAAGGTTTCTTTCAGCTGTAAATGCTTTCCGGTCTTGCTGGCAAGATCCATCCATTTTCCCTTGAACCACTTGATAGTTGGCTTTCGGAGAAGATCTTTAGCTTCCACTTTAGCAACAAAGGTAATGTCTCCTCCTTTGAACAGATATTCGTATGTTGTCAGTGGGAGATAAAAGTAGTAGTGTGTATATTGTATGTAACCATTTCTTCTGCTGTACTCACCCACAGGCACAGTGCCGCTCTGTGGTTTCTCTATGAGCAGAGTGGACAGTGGAGGGCTGTCGACGGGCTTTTCAAGTTCCTCTGGGGCCTGGCCCTCTCCCAAAGACCACACTGCTCAGTTAGAAAGAAAAAAATAAAAACATTTTTGACTCAACGTTGCACAAAATATCAATTAAAATAGTCAACCCACCTTTGCCATTTTTCTGCAAATGTTATCAAAGATAATTCAATAAATGGTTAAAAACAATATGACAGTATCCCACTTGGAACATATATATATATACATTTCACAGCAGCACCTTTCATAAAGCCACATAAAAACCAAAATGATTTTAAAAACCTTCAAAATGAAAACACATTTCATCTTCAGCATCACCCATTACATTAAAATACAGCAGATGGTGTTGTTCCAAAGTGCTCCTGAAACATAGACTGTTTTTACTACCACTTTATTACCTGAGTCCTTTCTCTCCTTTGCTGGCACAGGAGCACTATCATCTAAACAAAGAGAGAAATTTACAGCATATTGTAAGAAATATTACTGTAAAGTCCACTAAAGCAAACAAACACTCGTGGGGTTAAACCTTCAAGCAGTTAAATCTTGTCATGAATCTAACAATTCTGTTATTACAAATTCAAGTAATGTTGTATTTTATGATATTTAACAACTTCTCCTAACTATATTTGGGTTTTTAGGATTCTAGAATGTTTAGACGTCTCCAACCGATGCATGTTAACAGGTTAGAAAATGAGAACTAGGATCTAAATCTGGTTTAGGACTAGACACACGTTTTGTTGTTTCAGGCGTGGCTCAGTTTGTTGATAAGTACTAAAACAGTGCCAGGATTTAACAGAGGGCTCTTACTAGGCAGATCAACGGACACTTTCTTGACTGAACTGGCATCTTCTGTGAAGAAAGCAAAATTATCATTGATGTTAATCAGGATTACCGGAGTATTTAAGAGATTTGCTTGGCTTATCCAAGGATAAAACAAGCATGTATGCTGTTTCAAATACAAATTATTGCACTGAATTTTGTTGGATTGGACTTTCCTGTTTACTAAAACTATTCACATCAAGGCTTGAGAGTGAAAGATGTTAATTCTTTATGGTGACAGACTCAATTTTCAATATTAAATATAATTTTTTGATGTAACATGAGACCATCAGCAAAATTATTCCTCCAGCCCTGAAAATGTAATAGATAATACTTTTAGCGAAACATCTTTAGGAAATCTGTAAAAAAGATTATTAGAGGTTGGCAAGCAGGAAAAAATCAGCACACAAGCATTCACAAAATAAATATCTTTGTATGTATTTTGCACGCATTCTGTAATATGGAGTGAAATTACTTCCATATCTGAGAGTTACAGGTTTGCTGTGTTTAAATCACACATGCTTATGATGTATGTCTGAGTGGTAACATACATCAAACCTTAACATTCACCAGAGGAAATTCCAGTTGAAGTATGTAGGCTATTACAATAAAAGAGTACCCCAGTAATGTCACAATAGGAGCTTTTGAGGTATCGTATTGGTACCAACCTGCTGGGGATGTTGGGGAGGGGCTAGTGGCTGCAGGAGCATCATCACCTGCAATAAAGGTTTGATTGACAGCTAGACGCACCTAACACGCCCATCATAGAAGACACAGTGGCCCATTGATCACACATGCAACACACAACATGCAGCTCTCATACAGAAATATTAAAAGTAAACCATTCAAACAATGAAACTCTCACTTCAAACCTGAATATAGATTATACGACTGTATAAGACTGTAAGTTGGCATTATAACATATTCTTGTGGCTAATGTTTCATACACATGTTTTGCACATGTACACAGATGTGTGGGAGACATCAATAACTGATATAATTAAATAAAGCATAATGTTTTCCTTTTTTGACCTTAAGGTAGGCAAAACAACCCAACTACAAGTTAAATCAATCTTTCCCCTTGAAATATGTGTTTAGTATAAGATTTGCTTTAAGTAACTGGTAAAAAGGTCATGGACTGTTTGCATTCTTATGAAGCCCAAGCCAAATCAGGGGTGAGTGGTGTTAGTGGAGACACATTAAGCAAATACGGAGAGTATACAGGTAAGGTGCAGGTCAGGCATAGTTTCTACATTAGTATTATAAATCTGTTTAATTAAACATGCGGGATCAGGAGACACAAGAGACTGATAGTGGTTTACTTACCCATGGGTGGGGAAGAGACAGAACTCTCCTCCTTTACTGCTGAGCCAGGAGCCTCTGCCTCTTTCATCCCCTTCACACCACACTGAGGCTGGACAGAGCCATTCTCTGTGGGGCTTGGCTCCTGAGCTACAGCTAAAGGCTCTGAGGGCTCTGGTTTCCTCTCATCAGTCTCTACTGGCTCTTTCCCCTCTGTTACCACCTCTGTTATGGTCTCAGTTATGGCCTCTGTTACTTCAGTCATGGCCTCTGTTACTTCAGTTATGGCCTCTGTTACTTCAGTCATGGCCTCTGTTACTTCGGTTTTGGCCTCTGTTACTGCTTCAGCTATGGCCTCTGTTACTTCGGTTTTGGCCTCTGTTACTGCTTCAGCTATGGCCTCTGTTACTTCGGTTACGGCCTCTGTTACTTCGGTTTTGGCCTCTGTTACTGCTTCAGCTACGGCCTCTGTTACTTCGGTTACGGCCTCTGTTACTTCGGTTACGGCCTCTGTTACTTCGGTTACGACCTCTGTTACTTCGGTTACAGCCTCTGTTACTTCGGTTACGGCCTCTGTTACTTCGGTTACGGCCTCAGTTACTGCTTCAGCTACGGCCTCTGTTATGGGCTCTGTACAGCAGACAAAGCGCCAAGCTGGAGCAGCAAGCAGCAAGCAAAGATACTGCAGCATGGCAATACAATGCTTGCTTTGTGCTAGTATTTAATGGCCAGATAGCATTAGGCTGTATGTCTATCATTATTGGGTAGTTTCTTGACAGCTGTCTGGTCATTAAATATACAATAAATGGATTTCAGAGGGAAAAATTTACCGGCTTGTGTTTATTTTGTTTTTGTTTATATACATGTGTGTGTGTGTGTGTGTGTGTGTGTGTAGTATGATAATAGTATAATCAATAACACAAGTGGGGAAAATCTTTCCATCTTAAATTGGCATCATATTTAGTGTGATAAGTCAAGTATCATGCACATGAAAACACAACACATTTAGTAGTGACAGCATCACGCCTCAAGACAGTTGTTCCTCCTAGCAGGTCACAAGTTACTAGT